TATTTTGTTTTCACCTTTTCAAAAGAAGCAGAGCAAAAAAGAGAGGAGCAATCGAGAGCGAGAGAGAAATTCTAATCTTTTTTTTTTAATTACAAAGTTATAACCAAAAATAGAAGAAGGCTATTATGGTCATTTATCATGTAAGGATATTTTGGGTATCACAATTAATTATTTAACTTTAATTAATGAATAAGTTACTTAAAGAAAAAAAATGTTGATAGGTCATTAAATAAATAAGGCCCCTTTTAAACAAACCCCCCCTTTATACATACTGTAAACTCGTTCTTTATTTTTATTATATAAGTGCATTTATACATTTATTTGTATTTAATTATCTGTTATATTTCAGTGGATGTTATATTTTAGTGGGCTGATGAAGTTTTTTGTAAGTGCAGTTTGTCAATTATTTATTTTTTCTCTTCATTTAAGAATGTGTTAGGATATCATCATCTTTTATCACGTTTTTATTTAAATAATTAGTGTGTAATTAAACCAAAATAATTATTAAAAACTGTTGATATTATGGTGGATCAATTATTGAGAAATAAAATTGATGATAATTTTGTTTAAAACAATAATTGTAGAAATTGATTTTATGTAAATTATTAGTGCTAATTAAACTAAAATGATTAATTAAAAATTGTTGATAGTCATGGGTCAATTATAGAAAAAGAGAATAAATAATAATTTTGTACATAAAATAATTGCGTCATTGATGAGCGGTTACTAATTTCTAAACTGCTTAGTCACGTAATTTAGTAAATGATTTTTGGGGTTGGTAATTTTATAGGAAGTGTCTATAGTCCCATGGGGCACCATCCCCTTATTTTGTTTGAGGCCATAAGATGTAATATGCAGCTTATTCACGGTTAAATTTAATGTGGGAACACATTACAACAATGTGGAATAGAACACCTAATTTTTGTTTGTAGAAGTTGTACCGCAACATTTATTTTATTTAATTGGATTTCGTCTATTTTTTTTTGTCTTTTTTGTGAAATATAACAATTTTTTATAATTTGTCATATTTTTATGTATGAGTATGATGGCCTTAGATAGGCTAGATTTGACATACAATTAATAATATAAAAATTAAACTAAGAATATTATAATGTATGAGCTTAATATAAAACGTATCTATATTAGAAAGTTCTGGTTATAACCAATTTTACGTGATAATTTTTAAAATCACTAATAAAAATATATATAAAAAAATATTATAGTGAGAGCCAAAGTCTTGAATATAGTGAGAAGTGCTTCTGACCACTCCCTGCTTGTTCTCAGCACAGATCATCACCCCCCACATCAGAAGAGAAGGTTCTTATTTGATAGAAGATGGGCAGCCAAGGAGGGGATCGCAGAAGTAATACAGAAAGCTTGGGACTTGCCTCAAACTGGAACTCCATTCTATATCCTAAAGGAGAAGATAAAGCAGACTAGGCTCGGCTTACTAATCTGGAGCTCCAAATTTAAATCAGAGAATCAGCTCAAGATCAACAAGTTGTCAGAGCAGTTGGAAGAGCTGAGAACTGAGGAGAGTGATGATAAATGGGAAACTCTGGAAGCAGTAAGATCAGAACTTAATGAAGCTCATGCATATGAAGAAAAGTTCTGGGCTCAAAAGGCAAGAGCCAAATGGCTCAGAGAAGGGGACACAAATTCTAGATTCCTTCATGCTTATATGATGCAGAGAAGAAGGCAGAATGCTATCACCAGATTAACCACAGACAGTAATGGCACCTGCACTACAAAGGAGGAAATTGAGCAACACATCACCAGCTTCTACTCCTCTCTTTTTGCAACTGAAGGCTCATGGGGGGGTGAAGGCCTGCAGCCTCTGATCCCCAAAACAATCACTCCTGAGATGAATGAGCAGCTCTTGCACCGTGTTGAAGAAGATGAAATTAAGACAACCCTCTTCAGTCTCAATCCTGACAAATCACCTGGGGAAGATGGGATGACAACATATTTTTATCAAAAATTCTGGGCCATTATTCAGAAAGATTTTGTTGCTGCAGTGAAAAGCTTCTTTGATTCTGGTATGATTCTCAAATACTGGAACCATACTTTGATAACTTTAGTTCCTAAATGCCATTCTCCTCAATCTCTGAACCAGTACAGTCCCATCTCACTTTGCAATGTGGTTTATAAAGTTGTCTCTAAACTTATGGCTACGAGGCTTAAAAGTTGCCTTGATTCCTGCATTAGTGTGTGTCAATCAGCTTTCATTCAAAATAGGCAACTGCTGGATAATGTGATCTTGGCTCAGGAAGTTTTTCACTATCTGAACAGGCATAGAACATGAAAAAATTGCTTTGTGGCTCTGAAACTGGATTTAATGAAGGCTTTTGACAGGGTAGAGTGGGTTTGTATTGAGAGAATCATGATTCAGATGGGCTTCTCTTCTACTTTTGTGAAATTACTCATGGTCTGTGTAACTACTACTTCTCTATCTGCCTGTGTGAATGGTGCTCTGAGTGGTATCGTTTATCCTTCTAGGGGTATTAGACAGAGGGATCCTTTATCCCCCTATCTGTTTATCATTGTGACAGAACTTCTCTCAGCTCTCAACACTGATTCTCTACAAAGAGGACAACTCTCTGGCCTTAGACTTTCAAGAGAGGGGCCTTCCATTTCTCATCTACTGTTTGCAGATGATGCACTCTTATTCTGCAAGGCTGAAATTGGGCAGGCTAATCAACTCATGAGCTTACTGGAGAAATATAGGAATTTCACATAACAAAGAGTCAACCTGCAAAAGTCATCAGCCTTTTTCAGCAAAAATAACCCAACTCATGTTCAGAACCAAATTTGTGCTACAATGCAGGGAATTCAGCTTCATTCTTTAACTAGATATTTGGGGCTTCCTCTAGGGATTGAAAGATTGAAGTCTGAGGTTTTCTCTCATATTCTTGAGACTGTTAAATCTAAACTTTGGAGTTGGAAGAATAAAATGATCTCAAGTGCGGGGAAAGAGGTTCTTATAAAAGCTGTCATCAATGCATTGCCTGTTTTTACTATGTCATGCTTTAAACTCCCAATCACTGTGTGCAAAGCTATCTCCAGTCTCAGTGCTAAATTCTAGTGGTGCAAAAGGGATTCACATGAGAAAGGTATACACTGGAAAGCTTGGAAGTTCTTATCACTGCCCAAGGAAGAAGGTGGAATTGGGTTCAAAGACATATCAATTTTCAACCAAGCTCTTATTTGTAAGCAGTTGTGAAGACTTGTCTCTCAACCAAATCTTTTGGTTAGCAAGGTGTTAAAGGAAAGATACTTTCCCAACTGCTCTATCTTTGAGGCAAAAAAATCTCAGAATGGGTCCTGGCTTTGGCACACATGGGTGGACTGCTTACCAGTACTGGCTAAAGGGCTTAGAACAGAGGTCAGGAATGGAGTTGCTACAAGGATTTCAGATCTCAACTGGGTGCCCTCTTTACCTCTCTCAAAGCCTAAGTTAATGGATCTTGCTCTTGGCCACATCTCTTGGGTGAAAGAGCTGATGCATGAAAATGGATATAAGTGGAACTCCTGGTTAGTGAGACAGCTTTTCAATGAAGAAGATAGCCAAGCTATATTAGACATCAAAACTCTGAACCCATCAAAACCTGATAGAACTTACTGGTGTCTGGACAAGAAAGGAATTTTCTCAGTTGCCTCCACTTATTCTCACTTAATCAAACAGAAATCTCAGTTACTAGATATGCCTAGCACTAGTCAAAATCCTAATGTCATCAAGATAGCTCGGTTAAGAGGATGGGAGCTCAAGAGTAAAGGGACTGTTAAGCACTTCTTATGGAAGTGTGTCACAGGTTCTCTCCCTGTCAGAACCAACCTCCACAAAAAAGGTCTATCCATTGATGTGCTCTGCCAAAGCTGTGGTGAGGTCCCAGAAACAATCGAGCATATCCTATTTCAGTGCACAAGAGCCAAGCAGCTGTGGGACTTTGGGCCTTTGCAATGGGAAGGGATGAATACATCAGGATGCAGTTTCAGATCATGGTGGTGGCATCTCTATTCAATAGACAAGACCCCAGTGGCTGAAGATAGGATCCAGCTGACCACATACCTACTTTGGTGGCTGTGGAAGGCTCGAAACCTCTGGATATTCGAGCAAGTCAGACTGCCGGTCCAAGTGATGATTAAAAGGGCTCACAAAGACTGGCTGGAGTTCAAATCTGTGAAGTGCTAAGTCTCGGGTTTCTGCTTTCGTTTCTGTGAGTACTGTATCTCTGATTAGGTCCTGTTGCTCTTAGTAGTGTTGTGTTTTCTGTGAATGGTGTTTATTTTTTCTATGTTGTTGTTATTTTTAGTCATGGTCTGTGAAGGAGAAGGTTTGCAGGCTAGGCCTTCGTGCAGTGGTATGTGACCTTCTTCTGTTTATCTATAGGGTTGAGTCGATTCTAGGCCGCTTGCATGCGTGTCCTATCATTTTCCTTTGTTGTGATTGTAGTTAGTGAGGCTGGTGCCTTTGGTTGTATTCGAACGTTGTTCTCGGTTGGTTAATACAATTTCTATCATTTCGGAAAAGAAAAAAAAAAGAGAAGACAAATCAAAAGAGTAAAATAAATCTACGGTAAATTCCACTTAAATCCCTACTTCTCTTTTTATTTTTCAAATCAGTCCTCTTAATTTTTTCCTCTCTGCACTCCCTTTTATTAATTTTCCCTTTCCATTTCACTCCTCATATATATACTATTATTATTATTATTATTATTATTATTATTATTATTCATTTGAAGTATATTATTATTATTATTATTATTATTATTATTATTATTATTATTATTATTATTATTATTATTATTATTATTCATTTATTTTACTTCAAAATCATAAAAAATAGAAAAAAATTGGAAAGCTCTCTCTCTCTCCCTTAATCGCTCTCTAAATTCCTGTCTCTCTCTTTCTCTATGTGAAATCGCCTCCAGGAAGTCGGGATCTCGGGCGTTCGAATCGACGCCCAGGAAGAGCTCGCGAGTCCCATCCACTACCGCAAGATGTTGGGCCCCTTTTTGGCATCCGTGAAAAGGACGGGGATCGCGGTCGAAGGCGTCGAGAAATTGGTGTCTCTGGATTGATAAATTTGGGGATGATTTTAATTTATTCGACGATTGAGGTATTTATCGACCCTAAATCAACTGTGATAGTTTTTGGGTGAAACCCTAGATGCTAATTGTTCCAACTTGTCATGGTAATTACACTGCTTTTTTTTCCAGCTGTGTATGTAACTTGGGTGTTTTGAACGAGTTCTTAACACAAATTATTAAGCCTGATGAGGTTCAGAGCTCGAACCTCTAAAACCCCCCAACACAGATCCTAAACCGCTGACCATAATAGTTTCTGCTTCTTACTTCTGCTTCAGACAAAAATGAAAAATGTAATAACTGAAAAAGAGCCCAACTAAACATACTAAATTTATGAACAAAAAACAAAGATTTTATTCATCAATCTCAATATATGAGATTCCCTCTGTGAAAGAAGACCCTGCCCAGTGGACACTTGTATATCATCTATATTGTGTTTGTCATAACTTTCAAATATTAGTATAGGGAATATATTTGCCTCGCTTGCTCAGTTTGCTTTATTTTGTCTCCATTGAACTATGAATTATTTTTCATCATATGCTTCAGGTGTTGAGAAAAATATGTTGGTATTTGGCCTTGTCTCCTCATGATCCTATGCAGTCTAGTAGATTATTTTGGTGTATTTTATTTTTCTTCTCAAAGTCACACACACACGAATTATGCTAGAGTTTAACNGATCATCAAAGGAGAAGGCCACATAAGTGCAGTCGACCGGTGGACTTTGGGGATTCATTTTTACGAGCTGCTGTTTGGGTGGACTCCTTTTAAGGGGTTGGGTAATCGGGCGACCCTTTTCAATGTGGTCGGGCAGCCGCTGAAGTTCCCGGAGGCTCCCACGGTTAGTTTTGCTTCCCGGGATCTTATTCGGGGGCTGCTCGTTAAGGAGCCGTAGAACAGGCTGGCGTATAGACGTGGGGCAACCGAGATCAAGCAGCACCCGTTTTTTCAGAGCGTGAATTGGGCTTTGATAAGGTGTTTCAGCCCTCCGGAGGTGCCATTGCGGTTTGTGATGGGCTAAGAGGCGGGTGGACCTGGGCCCACGGTGTGAATGGCCCGCGGTGTTGACGTGAAGCCGTCCGGTAATTACTGCGATTTTTTCTAGGATTTTATTTCCATTTGTTGAGGGCCAGTGTAAATTGCTGCTGTTGATTTGGTGATTTTTTTTCTCATGCAAGGATATGAGAGATGAAATTGCCATAATACAGAGGAAAATGAAGAAATAAATAAGTGTTTTTTTTATGATTGTTGTGATTATGCTTAGATTCAAAAAATTACCTTCAATATTTCACCATGATGATTTTGTTCATGCAAAATTTCAGGTTATCATCAATCTTTTCTTTTCTTTTCTTTTGATGAATGAATTTCATAAGTAGTATTTGTATGATGATCTATGATCCAATACCAAATTACCAACCTTTCACTGCTAAAGGCAAAGATTGAGCCGAGCTAAGAGAGCAGCTGCAATGGATTCATAATCCCCCGATGCGAGCATGAAAATTAATCAATGGGGAAATTGCTCCATTTTAGGCTAACCTTTGTCTTTCGTCATGGTTAAGCCTGTGACTTTCCCCAGAGGCAAAAATTCGAGCTTTTGGTTTACCGAATAGAAGGGAATCTGCCATGGTTGTTTCCATATCCATTGGATTTCAGCCAAAGCTTCAATTTTGAGTGGGAGGAAAAGAAGTTTGGTAAGTAATATAAAATGCAGTGCAAATTATAATTTGATTTATGGGGTTTTTGATTGCTTGTGGAGGATGCAAGGTTTATCTGCATTATTGGGGTCTGAAGAAGAAAATGGCTCTTATTATTTTCTGTTTATTGTTTGAGTTTGAAGCACAACACTAATAAACTACCCCAGCCTTCTATAGCTATCCCAAAGTGGAAATGACTTGAATGAATGTGATGCAAATCTTTTTATCTTTCCTTTTAACTGGGAGAGCCCATAAATTGAGGTAGAATGCATGTTAATTGAGGTAGAGCTCATAAAAATGACGTGGATATAATGAATTTATGTTTTATAAAGTGATACCCGTTTTCCTTCATGTAAGTATCATCCTTATCTTCTATAATAGTACTCGTTTTATCGTGAGCAATAAAAATTCGCGAGTAGCAATATTGTACCTGTTTGTCTTAAAACCGGTACCAGATATACGCATGATAGTACCAGTTTTACCTATAATGGTACCACTTCTTCTTCTATGCAGTACTAATTCTTGATGAATTAGTATCTACTTTGTAAAAAGAACAAAAAATGGATTACTTCACTTTTGGCCAACATTTTCAAAATTAGTACTACACCTAGAGTAAGATAGTACCAGCTTTATGGTGTTTTAGTAGCAGATATCAGGTCTTCAGTACCAACTCCGATGAACATTAAAAAAAAAAAATCAGTTTCAAATGATGTTTACATGACCAATAATCATTCTCACATTAGTTTCTATGAGAATTAGAATGTGGTTAAATTTTTTAATCGCAAATTGGTCATGAACTCAACACACTAATGAAAAAATACTACTAATACACTTCATCTCATGAAAAGACACACTTCATCGCATTGAATGATCATACATGACTACTCCAAATTCTACCTATATATTTTAACTTCCACTATTTTTCAACCAAATCACGCGTGAACGATCCATGTAGTATGGTAAACGTGGAGGATTAAAGAAATCACGATTACTATAACAGTACCAGTTTTGACAGAAATAGTATCGCTTCTTCTTCTGCGCAGTACCTGCTTTTACTCATTTAGTACCGAATTTTGGTCAACAAAAATGGATTACTTCAATTTTGGTCAACATTTGCAAGAACTGGTACCAAACCTAGAGTAAGATAGTACCAGCTTTATGGTGTTTTAGTACCAACTATCGGGTCTTCAGTACCAACTCGGACGAACATAATAAAAACACCGAATTTCGATCTTAAATGATGTTTATATGACACATTATCACTCTTACATAAGTTTCTATGAGATTTAAAACGTGTTTAATTAAGTTTAATCGCAACTTGGTCATGAACTCATCACACTAATGAAAAAACACTACTAATACACTTCATCTCATTAAAAGACACACTTTATCTCATTGAATGATCATACACGACTACTCCAAATTGTACCTATATGTTTTAACTTCCACTATATCTCAACCAAATTACGCGTGAACGATCCACGTGACATGGTAGACATGGAGGATTAAAGAAATCACGATTAATAAAACGGTACCAGTTTTGACCAAAATAGTACTGCTTCTTCTTCTGCATAGTACCTGTTTTTAATCAATCAGTACCTACTTTCGGTCAACGAAATGATTTATTTCAATTTTGGTCAACATTTGCAAGAACTGGTACCAGACCTAGAGTAAAATAGTACCAACTTTTGGTGTTTTAGTACCAGATATTAAGTCTTTAGTACTAACTCGGAAGATCGGTCTCAAATTATATTTATATGACCCATTATCACTCTCACATTAGTTTCTATGAGATTTAAAATGTGTTTAATTAAGTTTAATTGCAAATTGGTCACGAACTCAACACATTAATGAAAAAACACCACTACTCTTCATCTCATTAAAAGAAATACTTCATCTCATTGAATGTTCATACATGATTACTCCAAATTCTACATATATGTTTTAGCTTCAAATATTTCTCAACCAAATCACGCGTGAACGATCCACGTGGCATGGTAGACGTGGAGTATTAAAGAAATCACGATTACTAGACTGGTACCAATTTTGATTGAAATAGTACTTGTTATTCTTCTACGCAGTACCTGTTATTGATCAATTAATACCTACTTTTGGTCAACCAAGATGGATTATTTCAATTGAACATTTAAAAAAAAAGTAGTACAATACCTAGAGTAAGGTAGTACCACTTTATGGTGATTAAGTACCACATATCGAGTCTTTACTACCACTTGTAATGAACACATAGAAACACCGAATTTCGGTCGCAAATGATGTTTATATGACCCATAATCACTGTCACATTAATTTATAAAAGATTTAAAATGTTTTTCATTGAGTTTAATCGTAAAATGGTCATGAACTCGGCACACTAATGAGAAAACACTACTACTACACTTCACTTCATTGAATGACACACTTCATCTCATAGAATCATCATATATGACTATTTCAATTTCTACCTCTATGTTTTAACTTTCACTATTTTTCATCCAAAATCACGCTTGAACGATCCACGTGTCATGGTAGACATTAAGAATTAGAGAAATCATGATTCTTAAAATAGTACATGTTTTAGCTAATATAGTACCACATCTTCTTCTACGTGGTACCAGTTTTTGATCGATTAGTACTAACTTTTGGTCAACGAAAATAGATTATTCAATTATGGTCAATATTTGCAATAATTGGTACCAGACCTATAGTAAGATAGTACCACTTTTGTATTGCAGTAGTACCTGAAATTGGGTCTTTAGTACTACTTGTAATGAACACATAAAAACACTGAATTTCAGCCTCAAATGATGTTTACATGACCCATAATCACTCTCACATTGGTTTATATGAGATTTAAAATGTTTTTAGTTGAGTTTAATCCTAAAATGGTCATAAACTCGACACACTAATGAGAAACACTACTAATACACTTCATTTCATTGAATGACACACTTCATCTCATAGAATCATCACACACGACTACTCCAAATTCTACATATTTGTTTTAACTTCAACTATTTTTCATCCAAATCAAGCTATAACGACCCACGTGAAAAGGTAGACATGAAAGATTAAAAAAAAATACGATTCCTAAACTAGTACCAGTTTTTGCCATAATAGTACCACATATTGTTCTATATAGTAAACTATGTGGTGTCCCACCGCGCGAATAATTTATTACAAGCATTCACCAACCCAAAAACTTCTCGACATGTCTGAGGCTTATAAAACGACATACATGAATTAAAAGCGCATATACATACGGGCCATAATAGTCGGATTCTAGAATACCTGCAACAACACTTATTTGCAATTTTAATCCATTATGCGCTGCACCCGTACACAATTAATTCACATATATCACGCAAGTCCTAATTCGAATAGTGCACAAAGACGAATTAGCCTGGGCTCTGATACTAGTTGTTGGGTTCTATTAGGAACGTCGACAATGTGCACAATCAAATCTATTGAATAATAAATCTTAACGCAGCGGAATCTATAGTTAGGATTAGGACTTACGGTTTAAAAATTTTTCCGACTCTGATTCGTTTCTGATTTCCGTTGATGGAGATCGTCTGTCTACCACAACTCAATCGGTTGAAGGGTTTGGCCTTTGTCGACTCTAGTCGAGTGTTGAATCACAAACGGATCACCGGATCAAGTTGGTCGGGTTCAGATTGCGGCGGTTCGGGTTGCGGACAGATGCGCGTGCGTGTCAACTTTCCTATGCCTGAAAGGACTAGGCGTGCGGCGTCTGGGCTCACGCGGGTACGTGCTCGGGATGTCTCCTATATGCGCGAGGAGTCCTGATCAGGCGAGGAATAGCGGGTGCGTGCGGGTCGTGCGCTACGGCTTTCCTATGCCTGTGAGGACTAGGCGAGAAGGGTCTGTGTCATGCCGATCGTATGCGGCACGTTTCCTGGGGCGCGAGGAGTCCTGGTTGAGCGAGGTATGTCGGCGGGGAGTAGTGGCCAGAGTATTTGGATCTTCAAGGTTTGATAAATATCACCTTAAAATCTTCTAATGGATTATCTAAACACCTACTTCGACTAATCATGGTGGAGCGATTAATCGAAACTCCCTAACTCTCTATTGTGTATAAATCTCGATTTTCCTCTTCCTTTTAGGAACCTTAAAATTGTGACTCACATATTCAAGACAAGAGGTTGGGACATGGTGTATTTATAGACTCCATTAGGGACCTTAAGGAGGTGTCAAATATGGGCTTATCCCATTAGGCCAAGGAATCCTAATTCTACTCCACTTATTAATCCCAACTAGGTCATGATTCCTTTCTCCTAACATCACCTTCTAGAAGACTCTCAAGTCTCCTAACCCTAGGTAATATTCTAGAAGGAATATTCCCTATCTCATGGAATATTAAATAAGGAATAAAATTAATTCCTAAAATCCTAATAAAATTAAATAATAATATATCCCACTAGAATATTACTATTTCTCTCACCATTTGGCTCCAATTTAATCAATTAAATCAAACCTCCACTTGATTAATATTTATTAATCTTATTGATCGATTTACCTCCCTATGTTTAAGATATAACGTCCGTTGATTAATTAAATTACTGACAAAATAATTAATCAACTTCTTATTCATTTCCGAAATTAGTACCACTCAGATCTTTAATCATTATGTCAGATACACATCCGTCTGCAGGACTTGACATAATATTCCTTCCTGAGCTCATCTCGGGGACGTCATCAATCCAGCACACTGGAACATAGTGACCTTAAATAATTTATAATAGCGCGTCATATAAACATCCTCATTTACCAAAGTACCGAGTACGTCATCCTAACGAAATAGGAATCACCCTTGGTAAATCAAATAAACAAGTAATGAGTATACACGCCTATTTTATATTATCTTACAGCTTTAGAGAACGCATCAATAACTGAAGGTCGAGATTACAACAACGATCAGTGAGTCTCAT